CTTAAGCTTATAATTAAGATATGAAGCGATTTGTGGACATATGTACTGCTCACTTAGATAAAAGTCTCCTCAGTTTATCTGATAGGAAGCTAAAAACCGTTTTGGACTTGGTGCATGGAGCAGAAATAAATGCTCATAAACAAGAAGCAATGAAGATAGCTCCAGTGTTCAGCTGTGTGGGAATTCTCTGTTGAAATAGCTCACAACAGGATCACAATGAGTTTTCCATTGTTGTCTAGCTCCCTAAGTGAAAAATGTGCTTTCCCAGGAGATGAGGAGGAATAATAACTTCTCTAATTACACAAAAATGGACTGTTCCTGTTACACATGCCCCATATGTTAAGCAAATGAGACTAACTTTACAGCTGCCAGTGATGTGTTCTGATTCAGGCTAGGCAGGACTACTTTCAGCTGACACTTATGTTTTACATCTTGATATAAAAACTGCTGCTTTCAGACAGGATCTGAGCCATAGTTTCCAAGATAAAAGAATATGGCTCCACTAAAACTGTGTGAAGAAAAGCCTCCCATCGTTCCCCTACAAACAGCAGGAGCAGTGTATCTGCCACTAAAACAACAGGTGCTACTTAGAGTGGGATTTAATCCTTGCCACTATCTTTTCAGAGGATATCAGCAGATCTGGACCATGCAGCCATGGGAAGAGGCTCCGGAAAGGACAAACTGTAGCCAGTTCAGCTCACATACAGATAAAGTACTAATCCAGGTTGGCTCTGTAGCAGTAAATGCAGATGTAATGGTGTGGCAGAATGGTCCAGAGTGCCTTTACTGGATTGATTTTAACTGGATATCAAGAAAACATACCAACAAGCCCTATCCACCATTAAATTCTGCAATATTCCAACTTTTTTTTCCTACAAAATAATTCCTCCATGAACGATTTAAAGCACTACACTACATCAAAACACACAATTAGATTTGCTTCAAGAAAGGAACTTCACAACTCACTGAAGAACTATGATTCAAGAGAAGCCAAAACACTGGAAAAACACACATGAGCTCAGGCACAGAAACTGAACAGCAGAGTAACATTTGTCCTTCATCAGCATCATGTCACTCGCTGCTGCTCCTGCTTTGTAAATCACACTTCCACATCAGCTGGAGCCACAGGATCAATAATTAAATAGCTTTGGATGATAATTACTACAAAAGGAAAGTAGGGAACAAACATTTCTAGAACCAACAAAAGCGACAGCATTTTCCCTGGTCTTACTGAGCGACCTCAATATTCACATGCTGTTTAATAATTTAAAATGCTCTCTCAGACAAAGAATGAATGGAAACAAACCCTGTGTATTTCTAGGTTTTCAGTCATGGCATTCTGCTGGATTAACCAAGCAGAGAGGCAATGAGTGCGGAATAGTAAGAACCAGGAGAATGAAACTGTTAAAGGAGTTCAGTGTTCCTCCTGCAATCTTTCAGGGTGAGCTGTGTAAGCACAGGCAGATCAATGTAACTGCAGTGCCCATAGCCCAGGGCTAAAGGAGACTCCAGCCCCAGGGAGAGTCACTCAACCACTTCTGGAGGGTGCCCCAAGGTCCCATAAGGATGGAGATTCTCCTTAGCTCTCCTGGTTTCTGCTGATGTATTTACAGAAGCATTTTTAGTCGCTTTTTACAGCAGTTACCAGATTTAGCTAGTTTTCTCCCTGCACAACCTCACAAGATGCTTATAGCCCAGCTGAGTTTGCTGCCCCTTCTAGTTCACCCTTGAAAACAAACCAGTTTCTTTTGTTAAGCCATCTCACTTCGCTAGAACAACCACAACCTTACAGCCCTGAGAATGTATCAGTCAACAGGTACATCCTTCTCCTACATGGTTTTCATAACCTTTCTATTTAACACAGCCCCAGGCTGGAAGTCTCAGATACAACCCACTTAGAATCTATCTGAGCTGATAAAGTTTTTTCAAATTATCCCAGATTTAGGATTTTAAGTCTTCTACAAATCACACACCCTTTAACACCAGCAAGGATGAGTGCTCGTCTCTCCTTGAGCTTCCTTAAAATGACCTCTTCAGATGCAAAGTATTAGCAGGTGTTTCAGAACTCACAACAGATTTGTAAGTATCTGCAGCTGTAACTTAGAAAGTAATGAGGTTATATAACATCACTGGCCATTACACTGACTCGGGTCACCTGTATTTCACAGATGTAGGCAGTGATCTCTGGGAGCCCTAGAAACAGTGGAGGCAACTCCATCCAAACCAGCTGCAGATACCAGAGCTTAAGGAAAACAAAATGGCTTACACCAGTGGAGTTTGCCCCACCCATAGCTCAACCCCATTTGATCAGCCTCAGTTTTTTATCTGTAGCATTTGTTGGTGCTCAGTGACCTCCTGACACCCTTTGCACATAACGTAACAGAGTGGACATTAACAATTTGATTCTTCCACTGTTTCTAAATCAAAGCAGTTTAAACCACTACAGAGGTCTTCCAGACATCCCTGGTGTATCTCTGGTCAAGTTTGGTTCTCAAACAACTTGTTATGACCATGATCCATTACATTCCTTGGCTGTCACATAATTTCATTCTACCCTCGACCCAGTGTGGCACTTCTTGTCATCTCAGTGTCTATAAGACGCCTCTGTTCCTCAGAAAATGTTATGACAATTTTTATCTGAAAACTGGTCTCTCTCCTAATTTATGACAGGTCTGTGACAACCCTGGGCGGTCTCAGAGCATGTCTGACTGTTAGACAAGAATTCAAAAGGTGATGTTGAGGAAAACCTCGTCTAAGGTTGGAGACAGAGTTACTTGAACATACAATAGGGAAGACAAATTACCTCCCCGACCTCCTGGTACATGTTGGTGCAATCAGCTCATGGGATAGGGGAGACAGCGACTAACCTGTGTGGGAGAGAGGCAAAGTTTTGTCAGAGCAGACCTGGAACAAGCAGCAGCAGAGCTGTCTGCTCAGTCTTCTTATACCAGCTTGCTCCTCTTCATGATTTGTGTGTTTATTGTGGAGAAGTTTGTAATGCCACTGCTCTTACTTTGCATATTATTTTCAGAAATTTTTAGTCATGATGAACTGAGAGGCTTGTGTTGTCTGGGACATAAGTGGAGAGGACAAGCCCTGCTCTGGTGCAGCTGATCAAGGGCAGGGGTGGTAGATGGGGAAGGATAGCACACTTTTTGTTCTGAACAAAACCAGGTGCCAGGTGAACATAAAACTAACAGTGGAATACTGCAGCTTTGAAGTAAACCTCATTAAAGACAAAGAAATTTACTTTGCTGAACTTCTGCTGAGAGCTCTTACCTGTGTTGAGACTGTTCTTAAAATTTTTCTGATTTAGACAGTGAAGCTGCTCTGTATTGGTGGCAAACATGTCTTTGTTAGGAGTGTTGTCTTCCTGAACTACCTGGTTTTCAGCTAAGTGCTACAGGATGTGAACTGAAACCATTGAAAGTGAGAGGAGAGGAAGTGAAATCCCCAGATTTTGTCTGAAAGGTAGTTAGAGGAACAGCAAAAGCAAACAAATTTCAAGTAAAGGTAACAACAAACATGCAATCCTTTCAGAGCCAGCAGAAATTAGTTCAATGCATAGCTCTCAGCTGCTCTACCAGTGATCTTTGCCCTAAACTCTGGTTAGAGATCAATCATTATTGCATCTGCTTGCTCAACAGATGATTAATCAATGACTTCTACTACAGGAAGCATTATTGGAGGCATTAACAGACCAAAAAAATTCAGCAGCAGTTTCCACTGGCTATTAAAGCTGGTCTATCAGGGAGTTTAAGTCCTACTCCCCAATTACAAGAGTATAAAACCTGCAGGGAGTGACTATAAAGAAGGCAATAAGTATCTGGGAGAGCAAAAAGAGCACAGGTCAAAGCAACAGGAGGAATGATGGAATATGCAGAAAGAAAAGAACAGAAGGTGGCTTGGAGTAATGTAGAAAAGAGAAAACGAAGTTCTGGAGCAGAATTGGGAGAGAACACAAACAGGGACAATCAAGAGCTATGGCCAGATAATTTAACCAAAAGGAAAAACAGTTGCAGATAGTTTGGTGTTATAGGGAGAAGAAATTAATAGTCATGCAGTTGTCTACTCTGACTTGCATACATGCGAGGAAGTGAATCCCAAGTCTGGCAAGTTTCTCCAGACTTAAGGTACATAACATCTTGGGGTAGAATTCTGTAGATTCTGCTGCCTCAAATAAAATGAAGCCTTTGTATTGGTTTCAATAACACAGTGCATAGAAAGGTAACACAAATATCTACCCACAAAACCTTCAAGAAAAACCTGCAAAACTTCACGCATGGCAAATGGAGACTTCAGGGAGATTCCTAGAGCTGCCCAAATCCAAGGAGGAACTCCAGCCCTTGCAAAACTCAACAAAACACTTGCCTTAAGCAGCAAAAATGTAAGCATGAAACTTCTGCACTCATGACTTCATCTACTTTCTTGTATGTACCCTCCACAAGAGAACATTGCAAGTAGAATCCTTGAAGTCGTGTTTCAGTGTCCAGGCAATCCCATGTGGTTATGCAAGTTGCCACCAAATGAAGGGCTCCAGCAGCCACAAACAATTCCCAGCCATGCAGCAGCATCTGGATTTTAAATCAAGTCTTTCAAAACCATCTGACAGTAAAGTTACTATGAAAACACAACTTTATTGATGAAACACTACTTGAAAGAGCAACTGAACACAGAACAAAGGCATTTCAAAGGCTGCAGTGTGAAACTAGGTATTCAGAACACTCTAAAGGAGCTATACAAGAAGGGGAAGGGGCAGTTAGGACAAGCAGTTTTCTCTGGCAAACTGCTCAGACACAGAAAACTTCACATAGAGCCTTAGGAGGTTATCTGTGCACTGAGACAACAAATTCTTTAGCAAGTCCTGTGTGAAGTATTGCAGAAACAGTTCTAACCACTGCTAACGTTTACATTTGAAACAAAATAAATAAGAAATCAGCAACAAATTCTTCTATACAATACACAAAATGTGTTCGTCTTCTACAAAGTCACAGGAAGTTCTACAAGTGGAAAGTTAGTTCCAGTGCAGCTAAGGACTCACGAAGTCGTTCTTTGAAAGAGCTGTCAAATGTGGCACTGATTTCTTCTCTCAGCTCCCTCAGCAGAGGCACTGTGGACTTACCATCTGCATTCAGAATTCTCCCAAAAAGGTTTCTCCAGAAATCACTGTCAACAGTCCTAAAACAAGCAGAGCAGTGTTCAGTGAAACAGTACACACACACACACACCATGTCTGTCAAGATCTGTCTCTGTTCAGCACTAAGCACCCTGGGTGAACCATGCCTGAAATAACAATTTCACTCACATGAGTAAATATAAAGGAAAATTAGGTATGTGTTGCTCATTTTATATGCACAGGTCCCTTTCTCCTTCTCCAGTAAACTTCTGGATAGTAACTGCACAGCTCTTGTGTTTGTACAGTTCCTGTCCTAGCTACCTGACCACTATCACCATCCTCACTGAGCTATAGCACTTCTCATTTAAAGGAGTTAGCAAGAACATTCTCTGAAGCAACTAAGTTGGTTTTCATGAATAAGGGGCAGAGGTAAATCTTATTTCCCTATCTGCAAGCTAAGTTAACAGGACAATATTAAAGGAAAGCTGCAAAATAAATAAGTTAAATTAAATTAAAAAGCAGTTTAGAGCCAGTTTTACTTTCCTATTTCTCTGCCTTCCATCTGTCAGAGGTCTGTATAGACAACATTTCAGAGACAATTCATAGCCAGAAATCCCCTCCCTCCCAGATATGCCCACACACCATGAATAAAAAGGTTAAGTGACTCATTTAAGTTTCAGAAAACTGATATCAGAGCTAATCCTTTGTTCTTCACACTGAGTCCATAGAACACACTGCTTCTGACTGCTGAAGCACTTTTCTCCCTCGAGCTAGGAGTTACAGTGGCTTTGGAACAAACTATCTGCCTCTGCTTCATGTAAAGTGACTCACAGAACAGCAGCATCCAGAGTCTCAGAAGGAATCTGGCCTGTGTTATTACACTAGTAACTCTTACAGTTTCTAAAATAATTAAGTCATGCAGAACCTAACCAAGGAAAAATATGCAAGACTTGAGGCCATTTTCTTCATGGGCTAAGATGAGTAAGAGGCATTGCAGAGAAGATTAAGTGTTGGTAAGGAGGTCTAAGGAGTTATCAGTGGCAAAGATAGTCCTAAAAATTCAAACACAGCTTCACATAAACCTGCACAGATAAAGCTTCTAAAATAGTACAGTGAAAACAGAACTAAAAAGACTGAACTGAAAAAAACATAAAATCACCAAATCCATTCTTTAATAAGAGTAAACCCCCTCCCCTGAAAAACAGGCTGTCATACTTAGAAATAATTAAGTCCCTTTTAAAAAGCTTTCTTAAGATGTCACAGTTGTTGTGGTTAACACCAGTCAGCCTTCTGGTAATAAGCCTTTTTTCTAGTTATAACTGCCTGAATTCTCAGAACATTCTTTGAGAAAAGTTACACTGTCAATACAACCCTCAAAAAAAGCCCAAACCAACTCAAACCAACCCCTAAGGAAACAAAAAACACTTTCCAAGTCACTTCCAGAACACAGAACAGAAAGGACAGAAGCACTGTGATCTTTGCAAAAGACAGGGAGAATTACTAAAAACAACAGGAAGAAGAATTGTGTCTTCATGGGTGTTGCAAGTGCCACTGCCACGTGTGGCTGTGTGCAAGGCATGAGAAGCAAGACTGATAGCTATCAGCTGACTCTTCACTGTGGAGCCTAACCCTGGTAGGTGCCAGTTCCCTGCAGCAGTGAACTTACTTGTCACAGATTACTTGAGAATTTATTGAGAGCTTCAAACTGGCTAGAGGATGTGTCTATCAGTAAGAACCAGCCATGCTGGAAGATCCACGTGTGAATGGGAAAAGATTCAGAACAGATTCTTTATTCCCACATACTGAAATGCCTGATTTAGAGTGCTGATAGAACACTGAAGCACAGTGTGTAACTAAAGCACCTATGCAGGCAGTTCTTGGAATTATGTTGAAAAATAAGCATAGCAGATGAATGATGAGCCTGTAACACTTCCAGAGGCAAAGTAGGAGAAGGATGGAAAACAGAAATTCTTATTTGTATTCTGAACTCCAAAGTTATGAACTGTCAGTTACCCACATCCTTATCATGTCCCTGTTCCAAAGCTTCTCAACTCAGACCTCACGTGGCTCAATTTAATCTCTTGCACGATTAAAAAAAATAAATCAGCAGAAAACCAGATATATGCCCAGTAAGGGAAAAAAACCAACCATTCTCACCCTGTACACAGCTTAAGAAGAGATTTTCGTCAAAGGCTGAAAACAGCAAACTAGGAAGAGTAAGTAGTAGAGGTTGCTAGGGAACTGGACAACTCCCACACTGGTAGTAGGTTTTCCTAAGCAATGGTTCTAGAAGTGTATTCTACAGTCAGTGGAGCTAATATCCATGATCCTGAATGCAGATACCTGTCCAGTAATTGCTGTCATGAGTGGAGAGGTCAGGAAAATCCTTATGAAATGCCAAGGCAGAAAATGCTGCAGGATGTGACTAACAACGTGAATGAGTCTGAGAATAAACAAAGGGGAGATGAAGGCAGAACAGTCACAGCCAAAACACGTGGCTAAAAGAGAGCAGCAGAAATTAACACCTGAGGACAAACTGCAGCTTCCAAATAGAAGCTGTTTGCACTTGCATCTTAAATGACAATTTTAGATTGTTTTCCTTCCTGTGCACACGTACCGTTTCTGCAGCTGCCACAGACAGCCCTGGCAGCAGTGTCTTGGTAGAGTGAAAAAACAGCAGAAAACCAAAGTAACCTCCATTTCTAAAGCATGTGCTCATGTGATCTTTTTCCCCTCACCACCCACCCACTCATGAACTTCTCCAGGTTGGTCTGTAAGGTGCAAAGAGGCTAAAGCAGTCTGGTCTGAGAGGATGGAAGAAGAAAAATCATCTTAACTGGACTGTTCATATTCAGCTTAAAATTGTCTCCTACACAGCACTAAGAGCTACCAGTCAATAAGTGCAACAGCTTCAGAGTTTCAGTCCCCAGAACTCTCACTTCTGGCAACAACAGCCCCAAGCTCTAAGTTCTGAAGATGGTACCATGGAAAAGAAAAGGAAGTTAGGAGTCTGTTCTCTCCCAACAGCCTCCTCTACTAAAGGACTTACTTTGGTAAGTTTTGGCTGATTTTCCAGATGGAATTCTCCTGATAGACCTGGATATGCTCCCCAAACAGCATCAGATGGACTATATCTGCGATGCCAACCAAGTCTGCCTGCAATCACAACAAACATCACAAAGTTCAACATCCATCACTTTCTGCAACCCACTACAGCTTTAAACTCTTGGTGTGTTTAGTCATTCACATCTGAACTGGCCCTTGCATCAAAATCTTCCAGAGAATTGCTAAGCAAGAAAACTGAAAAAAGTAAAGTTCTGGTTTTATTGCAGGTTCCCAAATAAGAGAAGCAGTCACAGGTACTCAGCAGCACTGCTAGCCCCTTCACTCAATGCCAGAGATTCCATCAGATGAAAAGTCCTCTTTATTCAGCATTTATTGATCAGAGCTTTCCACAGCACTTCCAAACTGTAACTTAAGAAAATAGACTTTGTAAAGCAAACACAAACTTAGCTGCCTGCTAAATTGAGACTCACCTGGTAAGGAGGAGAACTTTCTGCCAGAAGCTGTTGCCCATGGGGAGTCTGAGATATGGGAAAGCTGTTGGACAAGCTCACTCGAGACTGCAACCTCAGATCCAGACAGTGAGAGAAATCCACGATCTTCAGAGCACTTGTCATGCCCTCGCTAGCGAACACATCGCAGATCCTGAGCAGAGGAAGCACATGGAGCACAAGGCAATGCAGCAAACTTCTTTTCAAACCCAGCTGAACAGAGCAGTGAAGGCGAGTGTTAGCCATGTCAATGCTCCCCTCTGATGGTTACCTTCAGAACTACTGCTGCAAGGGCTGCCCCTGGCTGGGAACAGCTGGCAGTCTGGAGCTTAGGGATGATACCAGTGTGTCCAGAGAGAGCAATGAGAGACACTAAAGGGTTAAGGATGATGCTGCTTTGATATTTGTCACAGTTATCTGCAACAGGGTTTGTGGAATGGGACAATAGTGTAGTGCTTAGCACTTCTCCCTCTCCTTCAAGAACTCACAATACTTTATGCAAAACATTATTGAGCTTGCTAATACTTCAACAACCTCTCCTAGTCTACAGATGAGGGAGGACAAAACAGGAGGGCAGTATCTGTACCAATGACTGCCAAGCCAGCAGCAAACACATCACACCTCTCACAACTGCTCTTCTTTCAGACCTGTGTGTTGTGAGCATATTTTGTAGTTTATACCATGCACTTGTCCCGGGATAATTTTTGCTATTAAAAACAAGCCAAAAGCCCATTAATTATCCTAACTTTTGGGCAGTTGAGTTTGGTAGGCATTTGCCACAGAAATCCAGCAGGAAATATCCAAGTCTATCAAGCCACTGTTAGATCAATGACTTCCAAAACAGGATGCAGCACCCTAAGGGATCTGCAGGACAACCCTTGGTAGGGTGTGAAGAAAGAAAATATTGGAACTTCTGTAGCACTTGTATGTAATCTATAAATAAATTATTAATATAAGTCATGAACAGACAATTGCAAATAAAATGCACTGGGGTGTGCATGTTGGGTGACTGTAGGCTCAGAGCCTGTAAAGTTAATAGCTACTTTTAACATATCGTGGTAACTAGAAATGGTCCCAGTGAAATCCTGTAAGGGAATTCTATCTGAATCATTAGACATTCTGGTTACTATCTTCCCACACTTAGTTCCCAGATCACAGTCCAAGGGATATATGATTTTGTTAACATAATATGGGAAAGGCCTAAAGAAGAAAACCAGATCTGTGCATCAAGGTACAAGCTGGACTGCAGAGGAGGCTGAGCAATCTGTTTCAGGTGTCTGGATATTCCAGTCCCACCTGCCTTTGTATTCTAATTCCCTGGATTTCAGGTATGTAAAACCAAAGGCAGGTGATGTACCATACCCACTTAGTGGTCTGGTACATCAGTGAAGGAGAAGCTTGGAAACACAGGCAATAGCAAAACCATTTTGTTTAGTCTAAGTTTTCCAACATGATCCTACATCATTTCTATAGAAAGGTTTATTTCTAAACAAAGTGCTTTCACTCTTTTCAGAATACACTGGAGCCTGAAAAACCTGGACTGCACTATCAGGACCCCAGCTAAAGAGCAGCACAAGAGCTGAAGCTGAAATGAGTATTCTGTGCCCTGCCACAGTCACAGGAAGAGACAAACCTGTCTCCCAGAAAGAACACCTCTGGCCTCAGATCTCCATGGACAATCTCAGCTTTGTGCAGCTTCTCTACCATGCCCAGAAGATGATAAACAACCAGGAAGATCACCTCCTCCGTGAGGGACTTACGGCCACGAATAACACCCTGCAGAGAGAGAATAAACATGGATCTCTGTGCCATTCTACCTTAGATTAGGAGAAATATTTATAGCTCCCCTTTTTTTATTACTCATCTGTACAGAGATAACTGTCCCACCCTAAATTCTGTGTAATCAGATTTTGCCCATGATCCACCCAGACAGAACTACAAGAACCATGAGCTCTGTGGAGACACTATCATACAGAAGTGGACAAAACATCAAGAGAAAAAAATTGAACTCAGGACTGAAATCACTATTTAATTTCTATCCTGTTTATATGTAACTATTTAAAATGCACTTACAAGACTTTAATTAACATGCAAATCCTTCAGCAAGACACTAAATGCTATGACCTTGCTACAGCAGACTGGAACTTGCTGAAGTATGTCAAGTTAAACAACAGTTTTAGATGCAAATCTCGTTGTGGAATAACATGTGGTTCTTGCCTCAGGTCCTTTATCACTCACAAAGAGAGAAAATGTGAAAAATTGGTTCAAGATTTGTGCTGAGCAGCACATGATCTATTGAATGAGAAACCAGTTCTAACTGAGGCTGTGACAGCCAGTCCTGATTTGTGTACAGAGAAAAACCAGAGGGTCTGGATAGCAGGGTTAACCACATAAAGCTCCTCAGAAATAAGGTAACAGCCCAAACTCACTCCTGGCACCCAAACAAAGTTCATGTCTCCCACAGCTGTACTTGGTTCCTCTTACTGACCCTGAGTGTGAAGCGACTTATGTCCATGTGGACGATGGCACAGCCATCCTGGTACAGGTAGCACCTGCAGTTCTCACTGAAGCTCTGGTCAAAGTCACTATTCAAACGCTTCTGTAACTCAAGCAGGATATAAAAATCCCAAGGCACAGGCTGAGAATACACCTACAAGAAGGTACATAAGAGGAACAGTTAATTTTGGAATAAAGCAAGAATTGTTCATCTTCATATTTTTCCCATCCTTTTTTTCCCCTCACACTTTAGCAATGAAGACATTTTCCACAGTCAGAAGCCTTAAATCTATATCCACAATTAGAAAGAGGACTTGAAGTAGCAAACTTCAAGTAAAGAATTGAGAAATTAAAACCAAACTTACTATATTTTACTCTATATTGGCAGATTAGATTTTACCATTTCACACTTCTTGTGCAATAACCATCCTATGTGTTACCTTAATTGCAAATCCCTTTGCATCCAACTGCAAAGTGTTAGCTGAAATGGCAAAAAACATCTTGTATTCTTCATTGCTCCAATATTCCCATTTGATGCAGTAAGTCTCATTTCCTGTGATGAAAGTTTACATTCATAAGCTGTCACAGCAAACAGATGTTGCCAAGCTATTCCCCACCTGCACCACATAAACGGTGAGGGTGACTAGGAACCCTAATTCAGACCAACCACAACATAAGCAGATCACCTGCACCACAGAGGCTCTGGCACACCTACCCAGCACAACGTCTTGCTCAACCTCCAAGCCAGGCAGAGCTCCAGTCTCCAAGTGGAAATCTGGAGAAGCAGCCAATGACTCTGGCATGGGATCTAAGAGCTTTTTACGCTGTTCAGCACTCCACAGGAACTGATCCACATCATCCACTATGAAGAGAAGAAACAGATGAGCTGGAACCAAGTGCTGAGTCTCTGTGACTTGATTCTGCCAGTACAAGTAACCTGGATATCGAAGCTTTCTATCCACACACTGATGTACCATTCACCTTTCAGCAAGTCAATCGATCTCTTCCCAGTAGCTTCTTGTTCTGTGAACAGAACACTCATCTCTACAACTGCCTTACTCTCATAATGAGGTCTCAGGGATTCTGCTGCAGCATCACACAAAATGCATTCTTCACAAGAGACACAGCTCTGAATTAATGCAGCCACAGCAGAATTCAAACTCGTTTTGCAAATCAACACTCCTCTTTTACATCTGTACCCAGTGCAAGTGATCAGTTTGGGATTTTTACATGAAAGGTTTCAGTGAAATTCACTCTTTTGAACACAGCAGGGGTTTTAGGTAAGAAAACAGAGTTGGACTCTAATTCTGCTGCTCACTGCAATATTCAGAATTTAATGGCTTTTACCTCCTGGAAGACACATAAGAAAATGCCATGTAGGTCTGGATTATTTTCCTGCATAATAGGACATAAGGTCATTCAATAGATGAGCTGATCTCTACAGAACCAAGGCAGCCTGAAGTGTTTACTCTGCAGGATCATTTGAGATGAACCATCAGAACTACATGGTTCCTACTGCCTTTCTCCCCCAAAGAGAAAAGAATCTGTAAACATCCTTCATCTTGCTCTAAAGATTAGCACATAGGATTCAAAAAAAGGAGTAAGATCTATCCAAAATATTTCAGCTAGCTCAGTGACACTCCTCTCCTAATTGTATTTTCATTCCAGGTCCCAAACATGTTTCATCATAAAACAGTCTACAGGCACATGAGAACATTCTTCTCCAGAGTGGACACACCGAGAATTTTCAGGTGCACAATTCGAACAAAGTATCAAGCACAGTCCAAGGAGTAAAACCTGTTAAATACCTTGCAAACCATCATTGAACACACACCTAATTGTACAGGCCAGGTTTTGAAGGCTTTTTGTGACCATTCCTGTTCTAACTGTAATAGAAGTATTTACTACGGAGAGCAATACAAAGGTCTTTAGATAGAAGAACAATAAAGGCAAAACTGACTATATAAGTATCAGTATTGTTTTCCTTCAACAGGAATAAGAAACACACTGCGAAGCAGCACAACATTTACAGCATAGTTAAAGTGCAAATTTAAACCAAAATTATGCAATTGTCACTAGAATTCAAAATGATATTCACCTTTCTCAAAGCAGCAGTTATCAGCACATCAGGAGACACGCAGTATGATTAGAGAGAGCAAAAACAAGACAAACCAAAACAAAGCTGTCTTAAAAGTTCTCATTGCCATCCAGCCCAAATTTTTCCCTTCAGAACTTGCCCTCATTACTCCTACACACTCCCTGCTCTACTACCCTAAATAACTCCTGCCACCTTAATATTTACACGTGCTGGATGCTGACAGGCATTCTGTGCTGCACATCACTGCTGCTTCTGACAAGGGACACAATTTCAGTCACAAGTAATGGGGAACACAGAGCACACAGAGTGGAGTTTAGGAAGGACAGAAAAACCATCAGCTTAGTGACAGCTGTTTGTTGTGAGTGAAACTCAGTTCAGTACTGACCAGTCACATTTCCACAGACACCTCCAGAACCAGTAGCCACTTCAGCAGGCAAGCTCTGAGCCAGCTCCAGTTTCTCAGGGATGTGTGGGTATTTAATAGTAGATATTTGTGTAACAGAGGACAGAGAACCTCCTGAGACTGAAGAACCTGAGGAGCGAGTATCTTCCAGGCTTGCTTCCATGATTGGGCTGTAAATAAAGTCATCAGCTATTCAGACTGCCAGAAGATACAGGTTCTAGATAATCAATCCCAGCCCAGTGACTAGAAGAGGACTCCCAGATTTCATTAGCATACAGATATCCTTTTCCAACCTTAGTGGAAAACCAAAAGTCATGCCAGAGCACCATTTTAGCTTTGATGATTGTTTATATTAAGAATCTTAGTCTACAGATGAATTTTTAGCTTCTCTTCCACAAAATCTGACTGCTACAACAGGAGACAAACTGAGTATTTATTACTCCCTTTGCTACCAGAATCCAATCCTTTTAAAGCAGGGAAGGGCTGGGTAGAAAATAACTCTTCCTAATTATAATCAGCAGTTTCCAAGGAACTTCCCAAGTAAACAAACACCTTCAGCATGGTGTACATGTTTACATGCTAACAGCCAGCAAATCAAACTCAACTCTCAATTAAGAAACCCCCAAACAACAGATGCTTTTTTCCTTACAATGCTAAGAAACAGGAGACTGCTTGCCAGTGTTTTTCTCTGCAGCTTTTCTTCTCTGCACAAGAACTAAACCACAATCACCGGCTGCATGTTATATACTAAAATAACTGCAGAGGCATAGGAGTATAGAAGGAACTGGTGATTCTCCTTTCAGTCTCTGACAGCCAAGACAAAATGCATTATTTTCAAGTTATTTGGTTAAAAAACACACAGAGCTAAGTCCCCCAGCAGTAATGCTGAAGAGCCAAGCGGGTTTGCTATTGTTTCTTAAAGCTGCTCAAGAGGGCTAGAGAAATGGCTGTCTTGGGAATATTCTGGTATTCAGAAAACCGTTTCTTCAGCAACAGTAAAACCACAGCCATGAAAGACCCAAGAGAAGGGGCTTAAGGTACTTTACCATTACTTACCTCAGTTTATTGACACAGAGAGCTTCAGTGTATGCTTCCTCACACACCAGTGCTTCCTGATTCAGTGGTGCACTCCTGGATTCTGGACTATCTTCCTTCAGGTCACTCTGGGAGAAAGCAGGAGTTGGGACTCTCTGAGCTACCACCCCGTGGAAGGGTGTTGAGGCCAGGTGGGCAGCCCTGTTAAAGTCACACGTGTCTTCTGGGTTGGCACAAAGGGTTTTGTTCTTGTAGGAGCCTGTCACAATTGCATCCTCAGTCAAAGGTTCAACTCCATTCAGCTCATCCTGGCAAGACGTAGGAAGAGGCAGTGAAAACCCTGTAGATGTTATGCCAATTTTTCTTATAATTT